CTTTCCCTAAATTCATTTTAACAAATCATGGTTAGATAAAGATAATATCTTACTGAGCTCCCATTTTAGATAACTGGGAGTTTATCAGTCCTTTCAATTCTCCCTCAGAAATCTCTTTTTCATCTCTTTTTTTTTCTGTCCTCCACAACACAGAACATCTGAAAACAAAGACGTCAACTAGGTCCTCATTGCTTCTTGCTTGGATTATTACAGGAGCCTACTTTTTGGACCCATTTAGTCTATTTCACACTGTTAGCAGGAATAACATTCACAAAATTAATCTGATTACATTTCTCTTTTGCTTGAGAAGTTTTGCTGGCCCCCACAGGTTAAAATCCAAATTATCTGTTTGATATGCATGTTTCTTCACAGTCTGACTTTATTCTACCTCTTAGCTTTAACTACTAAACTCAACCCTTTGCACCTTATTTCAGCTACAGTAAATTTCATACATCTTCCTGGCACCATTGTTCTTCGACAACCCTGTGCGTTCATTTATACTATTTCTTTACCTGGGATGTTTTTCTTTACCTATTTGGGTTTTTGATCCCTCTACATGACTCAACTGAAAGATCATCTTAATTATGAAACCTTCCTCATGTTCCCTAAGCAGAATAAATTGCTCCCTTCTCTGTTACACTCTCAGCAGTATTTATTATAGTACATATAACAGCCTCATTTACCTGATAACTATTTCCCTCAATAGACTTTGAGAATCCCTGTCTTATTTATTTTTCAAGTGCCTGAGCACTGAATAAATGTTGGAAAGAGAAAGGTGGGTTGTTAGGACATTTATCCTTGCATATATTGTTTTCCTGTTGTTCTTTAGGTAGTTAAGATAATAGCACATTCTTCATTCTGTAGATCAGATTATTTTTCTATTCCAGATAAACTTTGTTACCTTTTTAGTATATCATGATGACAGTTAGTTAATAAAAGATATCCAAAGGTAATAAGTTTAGTGTAACATCCCAAATCCCATTTTTTTTTTTTTTTTTTTTTTTTTTTTTTTTTTGTGGCCATGCCATGGCATGTGGGATCTTAGTTCTCCAACCAGGAATCGAACCCATGCCCCCTGCAATGGAAGCGCAGAGTCTTAACCACTGGACCGCCAGGGAAGTCTCCCAGATGTTTTTAATAAAGCTCTTCACTAAAACTGTGACATTTCCTCAAAATTCTAAACTGTATGTTCTTGGACACCCCTTTTTTTAACCAACTGTCTTGGACTGTGATTCTAATCTTTCCCTCTCATATGCCCCAAAAATCTTGAGTCTGCAATCCTGATAATTGAGGAATTAAATCATATCACTGTTTGCTGAAGGATCCACTTAGGAAGATCAGAAATGCAAATGTATTTTAAATATCTCTTGTCAAGGTCCTTAGCAAAGATTAGATATAAGTCTTACATATACTGGGATATCCTTAAGTGAACTTTGAATGAGCCTCTCTCATTTAGTATTTAGAACCTAGTTCAAAAAAGAATGAATATACTACCTTAAAACTTACAAAGACTAACCTAAGTACATTGATTTGAAAAGTGTACAGTTGAAAAGTAAATTATATATAAAATATTATACTTCTTATTCTCCTAAATTAGCTGAAATTTAAATATGATTTTTCAAAGCCAGAGCCAGTGAATGCCTCTTATTTCTACTCATTTGCAAAGTTTAAATGGCTGTGATTATTCCCTAAGATTGAAAAGTCCCTTCCCAAAGCACTATCTACGCCCAGCTAAAATAAGCCCTTTATTTTGAAGCCTGCCTTCCATGTTGCCTAAAGAAAACTGTTTTTCATATTACCAAATGTCTCTGGCACATGTTGGAATTTATTTGAATATTCCTAGAGAGAGTTTAGCACATGTGAAAAGTTATGGTTTTTAGCACTTATTCTTAAATTTGCAGGTTCTTATAATCTAGTTACATTTCTCTTATCTATTCATAGCCAGGTTTAAATCATTTTGGAAATCTTTATCCCCCTGTGAGATAAATTTTAGCATTTAACAATAGGAGTCTTCAAACTTTTTGATCACACACTGGCCGCATAGTAAAAAAATTTTGAGCATGTACCTGCAATACATAAATATGTCTATATTTATTTATAAACTATATGTGTATCATTATTACTATATTACAAAACACAAAGGTAATTTGGAAATTTGGAAAGGACAATATAATAAAGGTAAAATAATAATTCTCAAGTCATACTTACTAATGGTAAATTTTTTTTGCTCCCTCTCAGAAAAGCAATGTGATTAAATATTGTTTATTATTTTTTAAAGGTTATGGCTTAACATTTTGGAAGTGTGGTTTTAATTTTATCTTAATTCTTTGTTTCAGTAGCTGTCATAACGTAAAGATGTAGCTAACAAGATATGTAGCTCCAGATGGAAGAAGTGCCTGATTACCCTTATTAAATCATGATTCCTTTTGTAGCTATAAATTTCTATCTTCATTGATATAAATAATTTGTTCTTACAGATCAATCAAAATATTTTTACATACTTAACAATGAGTTTAAAATTCTGAGTTTAGAAGATTCTAAACTTAGAAAACTTTGTTTCTGAGTCTGACTTGGAAAACTAGGTTTATTGGCAACAAAATCACATAACAGTGGTAACATATGCAAATATTATCTTCTAAAGTCATCCTGTATTATATAGGTTTCTTTGAATAGGTACTTTCTCACTCATTTTTTAAAATGTCACATTTACCTTGAAAAAAATTAAAAGTCTGTGTGTCATCCTTTTTACAAATATATATTAGGTTAGCATGTCACTGACAGTCATTTATTATCACAGAAAAGGTAAGCAAACTTGAAACTTCACTTTTTGTAAAAGAAAAGTAAATAGCTCATGTTTAAGCCCTACCATTTCTTCTAAGTACTTTAACACAGATAACCAGCAAATCTTTTTATGGTAGAAAATATTTTCTTGGTCAATTCCTATCTACTGCCAATTATTCTATGATATTTTTAAGGTCTTATTTTTATCAAATTTATGAGTATTAGTGACATTCTTCAGCACCTTGTGCACATCTGGCTTCAACTTCCATGCTTTGGCTTGGCTTCGAATGCTGAAATTTCTTCCCTAAAAGCAAAGTTGATCTTTTTATTTGGCTTTTAAAAAATTATGGTACTTTTTAATTTTTTTTAGGTTGCTGAAATGGAAAATGGAAATGTAAATGCAATTTTATAGACTGTTTCTGCTTATAAAGTTCTGTAGTTCTAAATAAAAATTTCTGTTTTAGGTTCAATTCCAGAAGGTATCTTGGAGGACATTAAAGGTAAACTAAGTTCCCATTTTTGTCCCCTTCATCATTAAGTATTCATTTGGAGGGCAAGTGTTTCTAAGTATTTACACAGATATAAAATATATTAAATTCATAATGTAATATCCTAAAAATATTTAACATTTAGGCTATAGAATAACGTAAATAAGATTTTGGTTTCTCTTCAGATTTATGGAAACTTTTGGTATTACTTTTTTTGTTTTGGCCACACCATGCGGCTTGCGAGATCTTAGTTCCCTGACCAGGAATAGAACCCAGGCCTTCAGCAGTGAAAGTGTGGAGTCCTAACCATTCGACCACCAGAGAATTCCCTTTTGGCATTACTTTTGATGTATTATTATTTTTTTTAATTAATTAATTTATTTATTTATTTTGCGGTACGCGGGCCTTTCACTGTTGTGGCCTCTCCCATTGTGGAGCACAGGCTCCGGACGCGCAGGCTCAGCGGCCATGGCTCACGGGCGCAGCCACTCCGTGGCATGTGGGATCCTTCCGGACCGGGGCACGAACCCATGTCCCCTGCATCAGCAGGCGGACTCTCAACCACTGCGCCACCAGGGAGGCCTGATGTATTATTGAAGAAACTTCTCAATGATAGAGTATAGAGAGTTACTAGGGAATTAGTAGTTTTCACAGTATGAATTAGCTGTTATCTTACTTATGAAAGCCACTGATTTTATGTTGTTTAGCATTTTTTTAAACTCTAGTATTTTGAAGGTCATTTTTATAAGGTCAGTCATTTTACTGACTAAAGAAATTCTACAGTTGGGTAAAGTATATTAGATTCACTTTAATAAGATACATTACTTCTTTGCTAGAGTGTATTTTTATGATAATGTTTAAATTGAGTTTTCTGGTATTTTGATTCACTGAAAGGAAAAGCAGTTAAACTATAATGTAATGTTCTTCATTACTGAAAGTGTCATGTAAAATTAATACTCTAGAATATTTAATAGAGAATTAGACAATAATGGATTTTAGAGTTAAATGGGACCTGGAGATAATCTGGTACAATTGGGTCCTTGAAATATTAAATGATTTGTTTAGTGTCACACAATAGGTAGGGTTAGACCTAGGGCTGCAAAATGGATCTTGTTCTTCATTATATTGCTTACTTATGTTGTATAATTACCTAAAATTTTTTCAGTTATTATAAAATTTCAGTCATTTGTACATGCTTATTGCAAAAGCTCAAATAATACAGAAATATCTCAAGTGAAATAAATAGTTTCCCTTTCGTTCTTCCAGTCCTATCCCCCATGATGTAACAGTTGATAATTCCTTGGAATATTTCTTTCCATATAGCTTCCATCTTGTGAAAAGATGTTCAACTTTCCCATTACCCAGAGAAACATCAGATTGGCAAAAATTTGAAAGATAGACATTTAGTATTCGTGAGATTATGGGAAAATTAATATATTGCTATTAGTAAGAATTGAAAATTAAACTCTTTGGAAAGCATTCTGGCATATATATAAAAATTGAAAAGTGTGCATCCTATCTTAAGAGGGTATGTTGAATGAAATTTGGTGACTTCATAATAAGGAATATCATATAGCTTTTATTTGTTTTTTAAAATATGTATTTAATTTTTGGCTGCGTCGGGTCTTAGTTGTGGCACACAGGATCTTTTGTGGCGGGGTGTGGGTTCTCTCTAGTTGTGGTGCACAGGCTTAGTTGCCCCTGCATTGCAAGGTGGATTCTTAATCACTGGACCACCAGGGAAGTCCCACCATATAGCTTTTTAAAAGGAGGAGCTAGATGTATTGATTTGGAAGGATATCCATAATATATTAAGGGAAAAAGCATGTTGCTGAATAATATGTACAGTAGGAACCCGTTTCTATTAAAAACAAATATGCAGTCTATTAAAAACAAATATGCAAGAGTACACATACTCTTGCACGCTCATTTATATTAGTTACTTATGTAGTACCTACATTTTTTTCAGTTATTTTAAAATCCTTAAGTGTAATTTATCTGTTCTTAGATTTATAATTCAGTGAATTTGGTTTCCTTAAAGAAGAACACCTTCATATGCCAAGTATGTAAGATGTTGAAGTCTAAGTATTTACATTGCTTAGGTATGAGGACTTAAAGTATAAAATGTGTAAGTAACTTGAGCACGTAGCTTACTCTCTAGCATATTAGCATATTGTAAACTCTTTTTTTTTAAATTGAAGTATAGTTGATTTACAGTGTCTCAGGGTACAGCAAACTGATTCAGCTTTATATATATATATATATATATATATATATATATATATTTTTTTTTTTTTTTGGCTGTGCCATGCAATCTATGGGATCTTAGTTCCCCGACCAGGGATCAAACCCATGCATTGGGAGCACAGAGTCTTAACCACTGGACTGCCAGGGAAGTCCCCAGTTATATATATTCTTTTTCAGAATCTTTTCCATTATAGGTTATTACAAGATTTTATTGAATATAGTTTCCTGCGCTATACAGTTCTTGGCATATTGTAGATTCTTAACAAATATATTTTGAATTAGTAAACGAAAAGAATTTTGTATAATATATAAGTTTATGTCAGCATGTTTTGCAAGTCATTAACCAAATCATTAGATTTCTTGCTCTCAACATCAATTTTTAAAAATTAATTAATATATTTATTTGGTCTTCATTGCTGCACATGGGCTTTCTCTATTTGCGGCGAGTGGGGGCTACTCTTTGTTGCAATGCACTGGCTTCTCATTGTAGTGCCTTATCTTGTTGTGGAGCACGGGCTTTAGGTACACGGGCTTCAGTAGTTGGGGCACGCAGACTCTAGAGTGCAGGCTCAGTAGTTGTGGTGCACGGGCTTAGTTGCTCTGTGGCATGTGGGATCTTCCTGGACCAGGGCTGGAACCCATGTCCCCTGCAATGGCAGGTGGATTCTTAACCACTGAGCCACCAGGGAAGTCCCTCAACATCAATTTTGTCTCTACTTGAAAAAATTTTTTATTCCTTACCTATTTCTGAAAATAATTTGCACCCGCTTACTATAAAAGGTACTTTGCAACAGAAATAATCTTTAAAAGAATAAATGTTCATAGTGAAAAAAAAGAAGATATAGTATGCAAGAGGGAGAAAATTATCATGCCAGAAAACCCTAAACCAAGGAGTGTTACTGTAACTAAGACCAAAATTTAGCTTTGTGTTCTGACCAACCAACATTTTTAAAAAAGAATAGGATAGATAAATAAGATTAGATATAAATCAATCTGGTTCAAAGAGATATGCTGTTCAATTAGAATGGCTACATTTTCATGAAGCTAAAATTTATTTTTATTATGGTACTCTTTATACTAGGAATATCAAAGAACATAAGTTTCCTCAAATATGGTTTTGTTTTTTTTTAATGTGGCTTTGTGGAAGACGAACATGGAATATGTCTTATGATTCCTCAGTGAATGAAAAGTTTTCTATATGTTTATAAATTGTCATAAGCTAACTAAAGACGGAGATAGTTTACAAAATCGGAAGGAACAGATGATTAACATGTCCACTTGAATAGAATTGTTTTAACTGGGACATTGATTCAATCACAAACCATAACAATGTCTCCTTTTCTTTTAAGTGCGCACTTGCTTTGTTAGTGATCTGAAGCGTGGACTAAAAATCCAAGCAGCAAAATTTAATATTGATGGGAATACTGAGGTAAGCTAAAAATAAATGTATATTCTTTTTTTCAGAGGTTGTAATTTGTATACTTATGCTTATGATACTTATATTTCAGCGTCCCTCACCACCCCCAAATGTTGACTACCCATTAGATGGAGAGAAGATTTTACATGTCCTTGGATCAATCAGGTTAGACCTTAATTTTTATGAGCAAAATAATGAACTAAAATAAATTTTTGGCCTTAATATTTGTATAAGCCTTTAGTATTATTGATTTAATAATTATGTGTTTTTCATTAAGCCTCATCATTCATGATTTTTATTATTCGACTTTTTAATGTTTTAAAACTTAAAAAAAATTTTTTTCTGTTCTTCAAAGTAATTCAGAATCAACCATTCTTTGAGATGGAGAAAAAAGTAATGATACTTTAAAACAGGATTCATCAAACTTTTTCTGTAAAGGACCAAATGGTAAATACCTTAGGATTGGTGGGCCATATGGTCTCTGTTGCAGCTACTCAGCTGTACAGTTGGAGTGCAGAATCAGCCATAGGCAATGTGTAAATGAGTGAGCATGACTTGTGTTCCAATAAAACTTTATTTGCAAAAACAGACAGTGGGCTGGATTTGGCTTGCAGGCCATAGTTTGCTGACTCCTGCTTTAAAACAGTGTCTTGTTAGAAAGAATGCATTCTTCCAAATATACTAAATCTTTAGGACCAGTTAGTAATTAACCTTTTTATTATTCATTATTCGGTCTGATGATGCAATATAAGTTGTCAAGGACTTACATGATTATATTGGTAACAATGTAATTTTTGTTTATACCCAAGCTATATAAAATTTGTATTATAAAAGTTTCATCTGTAAAATATTAGATCAGAAGATGCACAGAAAAGAATTATATAAATATAGAATTTCCTGTTAGATTTTGAGATAATTAACATAGAGGTTGAGATACTAGAAGGATGAACATAAATATACAGATGTTAAAGATAGTAGGTTGGGGAAACAAAAAAGTGAGAATGTAACACGTTTTGGTAGTAAGTTTTTATCGTTTTACCTTTTATTTAAGTTATATTCACTAATTTACTACGTAAAAACTTCTCCTGATTGTTTAGTGGAGCCCAGAATAAGAGAAGAAGAAAATAAGTGTTTATTTTCTACCGTAATATTTCATTGCTTAAGTGATAATTGTTAAATTATGTCATTTCAATATCAAATTAACTGACAAAGATTTGGAAAAAGAAAACATGCTTTGTGAGTATTTAGCTCAACTGGTAGAAGCAAAAGTACGCAGGCATAGAGGCAAGTGGCTAACTAACTATGAGTGAGTGAGTGTTCAGCATACTGTAGACCTCAGTATACTGTACTAACAAAATCGACAGGAAGTAGATTGAATATCAGGAAGAGAATTTTATGTTTTGAAAAAGATTCAAAAATCTTTAAAGTAGGGCTTCCCTGGTGGCGCAGTGGTTGAGAGTCCGCCTGCCGATGCAGGGGACACAGGTTCGTGCCCCGGTCCGGGAAGATCCCCCATGCCGCGGAGCGGCTGGGCCCGTGAGCCATGGCCGCTGGACCTGCGCGTCCGGAGCCTGTGCTCTGCAACGGGAGAGGCCACAGCAGTGAGAGGCCCGCGTACAGCAAAAAAGAAAAAAAAAAAAAAAATCTTTAAAGTAGTATGCATAGTATGGTCCCAGTTTTATTTTAAAAGATATTGTATGTATATGTATATGTATAGCTTTATATTGCATTGGTTAGGGTTCAGTTTGTTTACCAGTTATACAAACCTGAAAATAGTGGCTTCAACAAGATAGAATTTGTCTATCATTTAAAAGAAGTTCAGAGGTAGATAGTCCAAGGATGGTATGATAACTGCTACCAGTGACCCAAGCTTCCTTCCACCTATCATCTTTGAGGTGTAGCCCTTGTCCTTGGGGTCCAGGGTAGTTGGTAAAGTTAGCTACTCCATCCGTGTTTCAAGCATGCAATCCTAGGAAGGAAAAGAGAAAAATGCTTCCTCTCCTTTTAAAGTAGGCTTTCTAGCAGTCCCACATACTACTTTTGCCTCCATCTCATTGTCCGGTACTTAGCTACATCTAGCTGCAAGGGAGGTTGCTAAATACAGTGTTTCAACTGGGGAGGGGCATTGTATCCAGCTTATAGGAGTTTTATCTTTTTTTATTTTCAAATAATTACAGATTCACAGGAAGTTGCTAAGATAATATAGAGAGGTCCCATGTACTCTTCACCCAGTTTCTCCCAATGGATACATCTTATGTAACTATAGTACAATATCAAAACCAGTAAATTGGCATTAGTGCAATGTGTATATATTATTCTGTGTAATTGTATCACATGTAGATTTCCATAATCAGCACTACCACGATCAAGATATAGAATTATTCCATCACAACAAAGATCTTCCTTGTGCTACCAAAAATAACCCTAATAGTTCTATATCTTTTAATTTGAAAATGAACAGGCACATGAACATTTTATTAGGCAACTAGCCATCTTTGCCATGTATTGTTTTTAAAAACAAAGAAATACTTTGGGCTGGGTGGGAGAGGGTCTTGTTTGGTTTTAAATCTGTTGTATCACTACTGATCTGCTTGTTGAATTCTACCAACTATTACAGAATTTCGCTCCTTTTCTGTTATTAGGTTTAAGGTGGACAAAATATTTGTAAATCTATACATAATAATAATAGTTATAGCTAGTATTTAGGGAGTACCTCCTATGTGCCAGGCACTGTTCTATTAACTCATTGAATCTCTATCACAACACCTGTGAGGCAAGTGCTATTATTTTTCTCATTTACAAATGCAAACACCTTGTGTTTTAACCATTACTCTACATTAATATAGTACTGGTACCTAAAAGTATGTCAGTAAATGGTATGTACTATGTCATATTATGTGATGCCAACAAAACACTGTCTGTTTTTAATCTCATTAGAGATTCGGTTGTGGAAATCCTTTTTGAGCAAGATAATGAAGAGAAATCAGTTGCCACTTTAATATTGGATTCCCTTATGCAGGTACTTTTATTTTGTAAAAGGTTTCAATTTATGAATACAGCCCTTTACAGAGAAATTTTAAAAATCATATTGTCTGTATTTTTAATTTTAGCCATTAGTTACATTTTTTAGCTTTTATGTGAAGTTTTTTAGTTAATGAGTTTTACTTTGGCACTTATATATGGTACCCACAACATTTCAAACCCGGGATAATACGTTCTATAGACACATCATGTATTTTTTCCATGACAACGATAACAGATTTTTATTTTGTACCTCGTATGGTTTGTAGTTTCTTCAAATGCAGGTTTGTGTAGTAGTAAGTTTTTCATTCCACAAGGTATATGTCTCTTTTGTTTAATGACTGTGGGACCATAGAACTCCTATAAAATACTATCACTTTGGGAGATATTGTCTACCTCTATGGCTCTACTTGAGGACTTCATGAAAAACATAATGTCATTGAAGGACTGTAGCATTCCTGATGCTTAGAGAGAACTGATGTGGAAACAATTTTTCTAAGAATGTTATCTTCCCACTCGATAACAGGCTCTGGATATAGTGGATAATAGTACCTTAGAAAAATTAGGTTTCCACATGTTTTCCTTACCAAAAAAGAAACGAAAAGTTATTTCTTCTCATGTTCTTTGCTCAGCTCAGTCATTCTACCCTGAAAATGAGAATACTCCCATATTACTACTATATTCCCTGTGGAATTTAAAAGTCTACACTATTAGCTTTTTAAATCTTTAGGGATTTATATAAGTACATGGTAATATTATCATGGGGTTTATTTGCCACTTGAAAAACTCTTGTTAAAGAAACCTTGCTGTAGCCCTTTTTGGGGGGCGGGATGAACTAGGAGATTGGGATTGACATATATACACTAACATTATAAAATAGATAACTAATAAGAACCTGCTGTATAGCACAGGGAACTCCACTTAGCTGTACAGCAGAAACTAACACAACACTGTACGATAATTATACCTCAATTAAAAAAAACAAAAAGAAAAAAGATAAAAGGGCTTCCCTGGTGGCGCAGTGGTTAAGAATCCTCCTGCCAATGCAGGACACGCGGGTTCAAGCCCTGGTCCGGGAAGATCCCACATGCCGTGGAGCAACGAAGCCCATGCGTCACAACTACTGATCCTGCATGCCACAACTACTGAAGCCCACACGCCTAGAGCCCATGCTCCACAGCAAGAGAAGCCACTGCAATGAGAAGACCACACACTGCAATGAAGAGTAGCCCCCGCTCGCCACAACTAGAGAAAGCTCGCACACAGTAGCGAGGACCCAATGCAGCCAAAGACAGATAGATAGGTAGATAAATAGATTAATTAATTAAAGAAAAGAAACCTTGCTGTGGCCTTTTTTTGTAATACAAATGATCACCTAATAATCTGTATATTTTCTTAAATTCAATCAAGCATTATTTATAGTTAATTCTTTTTTTCTTTCTCTTTAATAACAGTGCCCAATAGACACTAGGAAGCAACTAGCAGAGAATTTGGTAGTCATAGGTGGCACGTCTATGTTGCCAGGATTCCTCCACAGACTACTTGCAGAAATAAGGTATTTGGTAGAAAAACCAAAATATAAAAAAACACTTGGCACCAAGACATTCCGAATTCATACTCCACCTGCAAAGGCTAATTGTGTAGCCTGGTTGGGAGGTAAGAACTGCTTTTTTTTCTTTTTTGTTTTTGTCTTTGTTTTTGTTTTGTCCATACCACGTGTCTTGCGGGATCTTAGTTCCCCGACCAGGGATTGAATCCAGGCACCCCAGCAGTGGAAGTGTGGAGTCCTAACCACTGGACCGCCAGGGAATTCCCAAGAATTTCACTTTTAAAAATAATGATTATGTAGTAATTGGTTCCTGAATGACATTACTAATGGTTATATTAGAACAGATGATTCATTGTTCGAAATTGTGTACTTAGTAAACTAATAGAACTATTAAATAATTTCCTTTGAACATTTACTTTTCCTTATATTATTAGTTTTCAGAATTATATACTTATTTCTCTTATCATTTGCACTTCTATTTTTTTTTCAGTGAACTCTGTCCAATTAAAGTCATCCCGAATAATGATAGTGATAGCTATGCATTTATTTTAATTATGCTACCATTGCTTAAAACACTTGTTTTAATTCCTTACAAAGCTAATTTGTGAGCCATATATGAAAACTGATCTCTTTATTTTATAATTACACTATATTTTGTGACTGAGTTTATTGAATGTCTTAGGAAATGATAGTTTTATTAGTTTTATTGAAATACGGAAATAGCCTAATAAAGAGACTACTTTGAAGAGAGAACAATCAGAGATGTGTATATTTGTGTAAGTTCTGATATGTGTCTTATGATGCAGTTACAGCTCATAGGTATCAGGATCATTTAGAGAGAAAAAACAAGTCTTGAGATTTTAAATTGATACGTATTATATTTCTTATAAAGTAGAATTTGTTCAAAATGTAATTTTGATCTAGGAAGAATGGATTTAGTCACTAAGTTATTTTTTTGAAACTGCCTTGTGGGTCTTTATAAGGTCTTCAGCATAGACTCTTAGGATATACTATGGTTGGCTTATTGAGTTTTGCACTGCTGTTTTTTTACTGACATACAATCTTAGAGTGTGGCAAAGAAAACTAAGATTATTATTTCTTGTGTTTACACAGAGTTGAAAATACTTTCCACCTTACTCTACCTCACTCTACCTGCATTTAAGCACAGTAATACTTATCATTTTCACTATAATCTAGTTTAGAACATTTAAGTTAGTTTCAACACAGGAGTTATGGCTTAGCCTGTTTTTCAAAATATAGGATATAGAACAACTTAACCAGAATTAATTTGAAGGCTGTGAATATGCATTACTGAATTTTACCTATTCTCTCTTGTCATATAATGAAGTGGATGTATGTGTACATAAAATTTTCCAGTAAAAGTTTCCATATCATCTATAAAGATATGTTTACCACACAGGAGCTATTTTTGGAGCACTGCAAGACATACTTGGGAGCCGTTCAGTCTCAAAGGAATATTATAACCAGACAGGCCGTATACCTGATTGGTGTTCTCTTAATAACCCACCTTTGGAAATGATGTTTGATGTCGGGAAGGCTCAACCACCTCTGATGAAGAGAGCATTTTCCACTGAGAAATGAAAGTTTGATTAAAATTCAACTTTGCTTCTTTTCAAATATCTCATCAATTACAAGCAAACTGTACAAAGTATATAGGATGGTGTTAGAGACGACTTTAGTAGAAGTGCGTTTCTGTAATTTTACTTCACATTAGTATTTAATCATTTTGCCTTTGGTGTAATGGTAGAATGGTAGCTGATGCTTATTGAAATTAGTTGTATTTATATCAATAAAATATAGTAAAGCAGTTAATTTTGGAAGTTTGTTACATAGTTCATTTTTCCAAAAGAATAAAAACATTGTCCCTCCACAATTCACATAATCTGTCCTGGGCATTGGAGACTTCATTAATTTCATTGTGTTCAACAGTTATTTTATTTAAAGAATAATGTTACCATTTCCAGTTATTTCAAATATTAACATGGGTCTGTGTCTTAAAGTCCTTTTGTTTTCATGTTTGTGTCCATGTTATAATCTACTTTTGGGCTGAGAATGTTGGGTAGCATAGTTAAGCATTTGGTAAGGAAAATGGGGAAATGTTCACTTTTTAACTTTACAGTTTATTTTATGAATTGCTAAGAAAAAAGATTTCATTTTTATGCGGAGATACTCATTTTATGCATTTTTATGAAACTGCTTTATAAACATGTATTCATAATGTCTTTAATCTTCTCTTTTGTGCTTTTTATCTTCTAAGGCAGGGGTTCTTTGAAATATGTACTCAGTCATTATTTAATTTTTATTTTTGTTTGTTTTTCTTCCTTTGTTTTTAATGAACTGCCTCTTACTAGAATTTTGCTGGTTTCATTCTTTCTAAGTACCTATGAAGATGGGAAATATATGCATATGTATGCTCATAGTCCTGAAGACCAATTATGAATTTATACATTTTCTAGACTGTATATCCCAAGTCCATTTTTACTCATAGTTCAATCATTTTGATTGTCCTTTTTCTGGATCCTTCCTACTTTTGCTATATGATTTATGTATGAAGATACCAACACCAAGTCACACTTGAAAGAGCTGGTTCCTGGCATTAAGAACAGGAAAGGATTGGGGCTTCCCTGGTGGCACAGTGGTTGAGACCCCGCCTGCCAATGCAGGGGACACGGGTTCGAGCCCTGGTCTGGGAAGATCCCACATACTGCAGAACAACTAAGCCTGTGCGCCACAACTACTGAGCCTGCGCTCTAGAACCCGCGAGCCACAACTACTGAGCCTGCGTGCCTAGAGCCTGTGCTCCGCAACAAGAGAAGCCACCGCAGTGAGAAGCCCAGGCACCGCAACGAAGAGTAGCCCCCGCTCGCCACGACTAGAGAGAGCCTGCGCACAGCAACGAAGACCCAACGCAGCCAAAAATAAATTAAATATATTAAAAAAAAAAAAATAGGAAAGGATTCGTGTGTGTGTGTGTGTGTGTGTGTGTGTGTGTATTACTTTTAAAAATACTACTAGCTCTACTTTGTCACCATGTAATACTACTTTAGTAGCCCCAAACTAAGATTCATTCAGTATTTATTGACTCTACTGTGTACCTAGTATAGTTTTAGATTCTATAACTGCTGCAACAGGAAGACATGGACCTTTGCCCTTAGAGGGGTTACAGGTTAGCAGAAGTGGATGTGTACACAGGTGACGATACAAAACAGTGTGGTGTGTGCCATAAAGGGATCAATTGCTTATTGCTGATGTAGTTAGTTCTGACCAGGGAGCCAAGGAAGCCTTCATAGCGGAGGCTTTCGACCTTGTTCCTGAAGGATGAGGAGAATTTCAGTAACTGGGGGTTACTCCAGGCCTTGTGAACTGAATTCTCGACACAAAATAAAGCATTGCATTGAGATGAAGCATTGCAAATTATAATTTAGGATTAAATCACAAAGAACTTGAAAGCCATATTAAACCAGTGAATAAAACTATGAAAATTCAGTTTTACCATCCAGTTTCCCAATATATTCATTCCTAAAGTGAGACCCCTCTGCCCTCTGGGACTTACTGCTTTCCACAGCACCCTTTCCCCCAAGGTAGTGATCTCTCTCATAAGCACATTATCTGTAACTGAGGCACTTACAATTTCACCTTATATTTGTTTCTATACAGGTTTTATCTTCCTTTCTGGAATATAAGTTCCATCAGAACAAAGCTCCATTTCTTAACTTTGAAACCAACCAGTGGGATGGCCAGGAATAGGTGTACTCATTGTCAGTCTTATGGATTCAGTATTTTATTAACATTATCTTTTGTAGTAAACATAAAATTGTCTTTTGTAGAATTAGGCTTATTTATTAGAAGATTTTCATTATTGAATAATACAAAATATAAGCTGAAATATAGCTTTATAGAAAGCTATAAAGCGGCAGACACCCAGTGGCTGAGGTTAAGGAATGGAGCCCTCTTTTAAGGGTTGAGTTGTATGCCCCAGAGAGATATGTTGAAGTCCGAACTCCTAACACCTATGAATGTGGCCTTACTTGGAAATAAAGTCTTTGCAGATGTAATCAAATTAAGATGGGGTTATTAGGGTGAGCCCTAATCAGGCACTATGACTGGTGTCCTCATACAAAAAGGAAAATGCCATGTGAGACAGAAACACAAGGAGAAAGGATGTAACAACAGAGGCAGAGATTGGAGTTAGGCACCTGCAAACCAAGGAACACCAAGGGTAGCTGATGACAGCAGAAAGCTAACAAAGAAGCAAAGAACAAATTCTTCAAGACAGCCTTTGAGAGCATGACTCTGCCTACACCTTGATTTCAAGCTTCTGGCCTCCAGAATTGTGAGACAATACATTTCTTTTAAGTAACTCAGTTTGGGGTACTTTGTTTATGGCAGCCCTAGGAAACTAATACACCCTTCTTAATTCACTAGTTAAACACATACTTACTGAACATCTGCCAGATACTAATTTAGGTGCTTGAGATACATTCGTGAGCGAAGACAAAAATCATGCCTTTGTGGACCAACATTCCAAGGGTGTGGGTGAAAGTGAAGAGAGGTAATAATAAAAGAAGATGATACCTTCTATAGAAAAAATAGTGTAGGATAAAGTGGATGGTGGGGTAGTTGCCAATTAGGGTGATTGTGGTTGGGCTTATAGCGACTCAAAGACAAATTAGGCAAGTGTGATATAATAAGAAACATATTTGGTGTCTGCCCCTAGTTTCTGACACAGCTCCTAAAATCCTTGTCAATTCCTGCATGATGGGGGTGTTAGGAGCATCTTACACAGAGCTTCTAAATCCCTTGGAATTTCCTGGGTAATAGGAGTGCCTTGTTCTAACGAGGCAACTCTTGGAGGGCTCCTGGATGATTTCTGGATGAGGTCTGGTCGCCAGAAAGTCTAAGTCATGATTAGAAACAGAACTTGGAAATTGATCAATAACTGATCATGCCTGTGTGATGAAGCCTCCATAAAAATCCCTAAAATACAGGGTTCACAGAGCTTCCAGGATGGCGAACATATTCCGGTGCTGGGAGAGTGCCATGCCAAGGAGAGGACGTGGGAGTTCCATGCTCCTTCCCCATACCTTGCCCTATGCATCTCTCCCATTTGGCTGCTCCTGAGTTGTATCCTTTATAACAAACCAGGAATAAGTGAACTGTTTTCCGGAGTTCTGTGAGCCATTCTAGGAAATTAACAAACCTCAGGAGAGATTGTGGGAACCCCTGATTTATAGTGGGTTTGTCACAAGTGGGGAGGCCTGGACTTGGAATTGGCATCTCACAGAACCATTCACTTTAGACAAGTTGGTCCCTGTCCAACTCAAAACACCAAACATCATCCTCTCCTGCTAAATGAGTGACTTTACCAGTTTCAGCTTTATCCCTCCTTTAGTCTGCTTTCCTTATAGGTAAGATTTATTTAGATGATAGAATTGCCCTTGCTTTCTGAGAACACCCAATCCAAAAGGAACCCTCACTTCCTTAGACCCTCCGCAAAATTCCACAACTATAGCCCCAATTCTATAATAGGTTCTTTCTAACTCCCTCTTACTGAGACACCCCACAGGTCTCCCTCGCTGCAAGGGATTTTTTTTTTTTTTTTTTTCCAAAAATTACAGATGTTTGTGAAATGCAGATATAATTAATACTTACCTATTGATCTTCAAAACTATTTCTCTGTGTGGAGAAATAATTTTCTAGTTTACTTGAGAATTGTCAGTTTTATTTTCCCCTTATCTGTAGTTTTCCCGGTGTAAAGGGTTTTTTTTTTTTTTTTTTTTTTGGCTGAAGGGCATTGTCAGGTTTAAGAGATGGGAGGAGAGGAATGTGACCTTAGGCGACTGTGGGGTAACTTGCCCCAAAGAGGAACAGAGAAATACTGTAGAACGGTAGCCTGCAGGGAAACTAGGTCAAAGTTTTCGTTTTCTTTTAAGATAGAGAATTAACAGCATGTTTGTATGTTGAAGGGAAAAACCGAGAGAGACAAATGGGTCGTTTAGTAGGAGAAAAGCTAGTGGGTAACACGCCGAGTACAGGAACTAGTGCTTCAGGTAGGAGCATGCGTCGTTCACCTGCAGGGTCGGGTGAGTGAGATCCTGGAACGTGCCTGGCTGTGGTGTGGACATTCTCTTCCTGATTACTTCAAAGTTCTCAGTGAAGAGGCGAAAAAGGCGGAAGTCCTGCCTCCCACAATATCTAATTGCCTATTCGAAATTTCACGTCTCAGTTCTTTTGTGCTTCTGTTTCAAAGAGCCTCCCCTCTACCGGAATATTAATTTCCCTAATACCTATCCAATTGTATGGTTAGATTCCAAATACAGTCCCACGAACAATGGGAGAAAACCTGATTGTGCCCTAGTTGTCTAGATCTCACAACAGAAGGAAACATTTCTCACTGTGTATTTCTCCACAAGACATTCCCCCATCTCCACCCCAGGACAAGCCCTATATTGAGAAGAAAAAAAGTAAAATAAACAAGAAAGGACTTTCTTCGAAGTCCTCCGACTCTCTAACTGCTTTTACATAGGATCGCTTGCTTTAGAAAAGCTGCCAATATTGAGGCTCATAATTTTGGTCCGATAGAATAAAACACTGCCCTCTATCAGCAATAATGCAGGTATGCACAGTAACACAGAAAATCAATTTCAACTTTAAACAGTGGCCTTTTCAGTTTCTTCTGTGCTTTACGGAGGAAGTAGGCGAGGGATCCGGGAGGGGAAGAACAACTTGCGCTTTTAAGTGCGCAAGCGCAGTTTGAGTACTGTTTCGTTTGCAAACTGGTCTTTTTTCCGAAGATCTGGTTAATATTGACAGTACGTAA